AACACACACGCCGCACGCACCGCACGCCACGCACGCACGCACAGCACGGACACACATCACAACACACACCACACGTGAGAGCGGTGTAATTGCGATAACGACGAGATTGCTGCTCCTATTTACTTCTTTGCGCTAAGCTAACTACCACTATATGCAACAAGTGTGAGTGTCAGTAGTCAGACACGCGAGGTTAAAACTATGCGCGGGTCCTTGGTACGCTGGCACTAAGAAATCCCGGCTGCAACCAATTACACAAGATCGAGGAACCAAGATTATTATCTCGCACATATGGTTACATTATAAAGAATTTTGCTGCTAAAAGCCGACGGCGATTCGCACAAAATTTATTATCCCATTCTCCTACATGCACCTGTGTAAACAGGTAGAGACCGCTAACAGCTAGACACGTAAAATGTCATAGGAAATGGGATTGGAAGTTGGAGTTAGAATTTTCCAATTTTATTGCACACCGGCTCGCTCACAGCGTGAGAAAATACCGTGCGTGTGGTATTAAAATGTGTGCAATAAAGGGTATTATTGTTTGAAATACATGCGTGTCATAGATTGACACGCAGCGTCTATGTGTATTGTAGATGCGTAAATCTGCTATGTGCCGCTTGCTGTTACAGTTATTATAAAGAAATCTAGCTGAAGAAATTTAGATGCTATCGTCCACAGCTAAGAATTATGAGAGAGATGACGGTATGACGTAGCTCGTGTTAACTAGATCGCCACTTACATGCATACCTATAGTTTCACCCTATAAGCGCTGTATATGCCTATAGTTATACCTATATAGAGGTGAAGTTGGACCGTCTCTGTGATCACACTGTGGTGTGGCCTTAGTTATAGCTAGTCGTGCGCTTAGTAATATAAAGGATTGGGCGGGAATTTTACAGGCGCTAGATCGGACGCATCACCATACAGCGTCTCGTCGGGACGCCAGATAGAATTAGGCTGTGACAGATACCCCCTATGTGGAATTCACAGAGAACATGCTCGTACGAGTTTGTAGTAGCTGGGTCTTGCCCCGTTACTCTAACCCGGTCCAGCCAGCCGCACACGCCTCTGCTTGACAATTCTTAAGACCGCCTCGTATTTATTTATCAACAACATGGCAGCGAGCGAAGAGCCGACTAGAAGAGCATTCCGGATGGGGAGGCGGGAGGCATGGAGTTCTCCCTGGCAAGGAACGTCGACTCTAAACACAAGCTAGGTGCTGATCCATCAGCAGCAGGCCTGCCAGCAATGTCCCCCACTCCCACACACACGCACGCACGCCACGCAACGCACGCACGCACAACGAACAAAACACACACACACACACACACACACACACACACACACACACATGCATCAGTACTCAATGATAGTACTTGCCCATACACACACACACATGCCACCCACACACCGCGCGGCATACACGCTCAACGCCACGCAGCGCGACGCACGCACGCACGCACGGCACGCCGCACCGCACGCACGACACGCAACGAACACACACACACACACCACACAAACATCACACAACACGAAGTGCAGCGTTTTTTCCACGATTAGGGACTTTTTGCCGGAGGCGGAGAAGGGGCATTCTCGACTAAACGGCCCTCTGATAGAAACGTCAATTTGTTGTGCCATAGATATATATAAATGAGGGGGTTCGACTGTTAGTTTTAATGTGATGGGGGCGTCGTGTGCAAGTAAATGAGCTGCAAACTGCATGGAACCTTACAAGGAACCCAACTGTTAAATTGTTAATGCTGTTCCTTGCGTCCATTATCTGATGGCTGATTATCATGACCACGGCGACCCTGACGATCGAAATGCATGCTGCTGCCTACTGCCGGCTGCTGCTGTCTAGAGTGCAATTGTCCTAGCAGCAGCAACTCTTACATGTGACTCTCGCCAACACACGAGGAGCGAGCAATTGGCATGAAGTCAGTTGAAACTACAACTGCGAACAGTAAACAGTATTGGTTACCGGTAGGACACACGTGACTGCACAAATTAAACGCGGGGGGAGAAAGTGGATCAATTTCGGCAGGAAAAACAATTTTCGCGGCTCTGTATACAGTTGTTGCATTTTCGTGAAGTGCGCTGCTTTTTACACGCTCACGGCCACCGATTTTTTTCCACAAGAAGTTATTGTCATAGCCGTAATAAGCCAACAAGAGGCTTACACGGCCAAAGTTTATTGCAACTGCCTTGAATCGAGTTGGAAACCGAAGCCTCGCTGCTTTCGGAAAAGATCTCCAATACAAGGTCCATGACCACGCGTGTGGCACAGCGCTTGCGCTAGGCAATGTCCAATAGGTTGAGTGGGGCAAATAATTTGTGAAAAAGGGACACCTATGGCCCTATGCGGTTGCCACTTCGCCGCCAGCTAAGTCCGACGCTGAATCCAAAACTCCCCACTCCCGCTTCCGACCTTCTAAATGAATACGCTTGTATAGCATCGTCGGTAAACGTTGGCAAAGCGAACTACGATTCACTATCATGAGATGAGAGTGGTCGCCACCAAACTGCACTATAAGGCTTGTTAAGTGGACTAACTCAGATTAACGAGACGCGTCGCTATATCCAGGCCCCTGCGGTCCATAAGCTAATGCCATCTGCGTTGCTACTGTCGTCGGGCATAAACTGTTGATTGCAGGAAACGCGATGGACTATATGCTGACCAAATTCAGAATATAACAGCCGGCAGCGTTGCCACATGCATATGAGGACTACACATATGCCCTCGCGCGACGATCGCAACGCAACGCACTGACGCACGCAAGCAACTGAACTACACGTAAGCGAAACACACATGCACGCCGGCGACGCCACACGCACGCTCACGCCACGCACGCAGGCGCACGCCGCGCGACGCACACACACAACAACAGCATACACACACACACACACACACACACACAACACACAACACACCACACACACACACGACCACAGACACACACAACACACACACACACACACACACACCTTCGCACGACGACGCTCACGTCTCCAGATAATCTGTGGTGGGTTGGCTCCGCAATTGACTGCGACGCCTGCTTAGCTAGGGCTGTACAGACGACGCGAACCAGTAGACGCACAGAACGTACGCGAGCGAGTGGACCCTACGTTGCACCTACGCCCTCGAGCTACTTAGAGCCACCAACTCGGTCAATTTTTTTGTTACTTTTTCCCGTGTCTTGCCTCAGTTGTTCTTAATTCGTGCTGACCTTACGGCGTATATGACGACTATTATGTGCTGTGCCGCAGAAAATTACCAACCCCGAGTCGCCCATCTAAACGATTCTAAACCTCCCAAGCATGACAATGTACCATCGTTGATACGCTATATATATCCCCAAATTATATCACGAGAACGACGATGCTAAAATCATTGCTACTCACTTCGAATTGACTTTGGAAATCGCTAAAGTGCACTGATGCGCCATCAAAAACAGCTAATTTCTACCATACTAGATAGAAAATCACTTCGTGTCATAGATAAATCACACTAACCTTATGAACAAAACTAAACTTCTAGTTCCTCCATTTACTGCGGCGTTTAGCTTTAAAACCACAAAAAGAGGAGATGAAAACATAGCTTCTGGTGCTTAACGCGAACTTGTTTGCAAAACAATTAGTCGAGCCGTTGAGTGACCGTGAGATTTTATCTTCGCGTCATACCCGGTAACAGCTGTGCGCGTTATTGCGGGGCAACAGCGAAATGTCAACAAATCGGAGAATTTGAACAACATTAGTCGGCCAGTAATTGGAGGTGACTGATATTTTCAAAATGCATTTTATAACGACAACGCGCAGTTGGAAATGGGAGGAATAACAGAGTTTATTTGTCCAAGGTACGTGATGATTATGAGCATGACACGAAGTAATTTGCTAGTCTAGTACCATGGAGAAATTAGCGTTTGGAATGCGCAAAGTGCGGCTGACGCTACGCCGAGAGGTGTTTAAACATCCTCATCACATAATTGTCATGTAATATAGTTTAAACAACGCTAATTCTAATGCACGTAACCGCAAGCTTCGTTCTAATAACTTAGTACTTAATGACGAGTCTATATAAATATATATATAAATAAATAAATAAATAAATAAATAAATAAATAAATAAATATAAATATATATATATATATATATATACGGGATACATTACTATTACTAGCAAAAAGTAGCCGACGATCCTGAAACAATATACCGCGATATGTGATGACACAAATCATTAAAACTTACGACTACAAAAATGCCATCAGCCACTTCACTGAAACTAATTGACACTTAAATAGGTTAAAGTTAAACAGTTTTACACATGTTGGGGACGAGTAGGACTCGACATAAACACCACATCGCGCAGACGACAGACTGCATCGCAGACGCTTGCAAACGATGCGAGGTTAACACATAGGTGTCACACGCAACATGCCCACATACGGAGTCGACCGTTTTACGACGCTACCGGTGGACGACAGTCCGTAACTATATAGTGCGACATCTACGTCATCGCAACCAATCCGTACAGCAAAAATCACACAATGATTGGCACAATATACGTAACTAGCTACACACTCATCACCGACGTTAGCGCTACGTTTAGTTGGTTATTCCACCATGTTTCACGCCCCCGGTCGGCGTTACGACCTAGTATTCAGGATGTTAGCATGCTACGTCCGAGGTAGGAAGGTTTCGAAAGCAAGTCTGTGTTAGTAGTAGCTCAGAACATATTTAGAGACGAAACCACCGACAGCGCGGCCAGTACCACAGCCATGTTAGATGTCCACGCGTCAAGACACGACAAAGGACACGCAGACGGACACCGACACCGACAGGACGGGGACACCGCGTCGCCAGGGACGGCGGGATCAGCATCCGGTCACCATGACGACCGCCAAAGCGCCATCCGCACGTGCGACGATTGGTTAGTGTTAGCGTCATCACCAGGGGGACAGCAACAGCATCCGTGCTCCATGCACTCTCAGCCGGCGTCTCACCGTTTGGCTCGCTTCGTCGTCCTCTCGCCCGAAGCCGTTCGTCGCAGCATCGCTCCTCTCCGCATCCCGGCTCTTCTTCGTCGCCACGGCGACCGCGGCCTTAGCAACCGCGTTCTTGCCGAAGCTTGGCATCGGTGGTGCCGCGTGCTCGACCCGCGTTCTGGCGGGGAAAACAAGTCGAGACGTGAGACGGCGCACGAACCTTCGCAGCATAATCGTCGACGACGCCTGGCGGCGGCGCGACCAGCGGACACGCGAGCCGGCTTCACAGAGCACCGACAAGCCCCGAGCTTAGCCCGCCAGGGCGCAACGGCCGCCGCGCGCACGATTACCGGTGCGACGACCTCAAAAACATCCACAGACTCCGTCTGGAAGAGGGTAGAGCAGGAGGAGGAGAGGAGAGGAGGAGGGCGGAGGAGGAGGAGGATGAGGAGGAGAAGGGAAAGAAGGCTGATGGGAAGATAAAGAGGAGGAGAAGGAAAAGATAAAGAGGAGGAGGAGAAGATAGAAAGAAGGAGGAAAGCTAGACCGGATGAGGAGGGGAAGATAAGGAGGAAGAGGGGGAGGAGGAGGAGAATGAGGAGGAAGAGAGAGAAGGGTCCACAGATGCCGCTTGCAGATTAGACGACGCGCCGCTACGCGACTACTGCAGACTCCTCCGTCTATAACAACTGAAGCCAAGATAAGCCGACGCTGAAAGCGAATCCCTTATACGGCTCGACTTGTTAGCGCTGTAAATCGCCTACACATCCGAACAACGTAGCCACCACGCTGAAGCCATCATCCAGCGGCAGCGCGAGAACAACGGCGACCGCTCACAAACACACGCAAGCACGTATACGCACGAACACAGACACAGCTGATGGGGAGAGGCCGCGGTAACGTGCGTGCGTCGCCGACACTGGCACGTACACCTGCTTCCACTGCCGCCGACACTAATGAAAAACGATGATTTACGATGGCGAGCCTCGCCGGGTGATCGCCACCCACACGTATAGGCGCACGCAGGTACAACGCAGGTACACCGCAGGCGAACGCTGTCAGCCTCCGCACCTGTACGGTGACGCAACGACGCCGGAATGTAAACAGCGGGGGCGACCGCTACTGGGTTAGGCAGGGTGTGTGAGGCTCTGTGAGACAGACAGCCGTGAATATCTATGTCGACGACGTGTGCTAGCTAGGGGGACTGTGAGGTAGACTGGTAGAGGAGCCACGTACACATGTATGTAAGGGGGCGACTTGTACTAGCTAGGCGTGCTGTGAGGTAGAGGTGCCACGCATACATGTGTACTAGCAAGTGACTAGAGAGTGTACATGAGGCGACTGACTGGACGACGATCCCCGTCAGCATGGAAGGCGCATGCGCGCGCGCGCGCGTGTGTGTGTGTGTGTGTGTGTGTGTGTGTGTGTGTGTGTGTGTGTGTGTGTGTGTGTGTGCACGGGAGACGGATGCGGGAGGCTGCTGATGATGGATGGCGACGCGGTGGGCCGTCTGGCAGGCGCGCACAGGTACGAGCATCGGCCGTGATTAATGCCGGCCAGTTAATGAGCCGTCACAGTACTGTACAGAGGCAGCAGCCGAACTACGGGATAGAACTACGGCAGATAAACAAAGATCGGGAACTACGGCAGATGAACAACTACCTGGAACTACGGCGGATGAACAACGATCGGGAACTACGGCAGATGAACAACTACCTGGAACTACGGCGGATGAACAACGATCGGGAACTACGGCAGATGAACAACGACTTGGAACTATGGCAGACAAACTATGCCCGGGAACTATACGGCAGAAGAACTATGCCCGGGAACTATACGGCCAATGAACAACAATCGGGAACCATGGCAGACGAACTACGGATTGGAACTACGGCAGCTGAACAACGATCGGGAACTACGGCAGATAAAGAATGACCTGGAACTACAGCAGATGAACTACGACCTGGAACTACGGCAGATGAACAACGATCGGGAACTACGGCAGACGAACTACGACCTGGAACCATCGCATACGTACTAATACTATAAACGCGCGACACCTACTCTCCCCCCACCCTTCCTCCCACAGTCTCCCAAACCATTCACAGCCAACGACGAAGTGGTAATAAATCAAGCTAGATTCCCGCGCAGTACCTACGTACGCCGTAGCCACAGGCACTTGGAACGTCTCAATAAAAAGAGGTAAATAACACCAAGAATAATAGAGAACTCTATTAGTATTATTCTTGTTGTTCGTGCACAGTGGCGTGCGTGTGTATTGCAGAGGAGCATTTGAACGGCATTTACAGGAAGTTATCGGCAATAATAGGCGAAATAGCGTAGAGAAACATTAATTCGTGTTTATTTACCTCTATTTTTATTGAGCCGTTCCAAGTGTCTGTGGCCGTAGCTACGCGGGTGTTTTCGCCTTGCGTCGGCGCATGCGCCTATACCCGCCTCGTCCTCGTTCACATACACACCGCTGGCGAACAAGCGCCCCACCCGGGGGGGGGGGGCGCTGCCAAGTCTAGCCTTACAGTATTAGTCCCCGGCAGACGACGCATCCGTGTTCTGGCGCCGAGACAATCGATGAGCTAACAGGACCTAATAGCGCGAAGAAACACTGAGCTGTACACACACACACGTACACGCATGCGCACGCACGCACGCACACGCACACACACACACGCACGCACGCACGCACGCACGCACGCAAACACACAGGCGAGCGCACGCGACTCGAATTGAACTTCATAGGGCGAGAAATCAAGTCGGCAATGCAAAACTCAACGGCAATCGAATCGGCAATAGACGTGGCATCTCAGTCGACTAATCGATTGAAGCGACTAAAGCCGGCGCCTAGAAGAAGGAGGCAGAGACAAAGCGGGTGTGGGAATAGAGAGAAGAAAAGCAAGAGAGAGAGAGAGAGAGAGAAAGTGTGTGTGCGTGTGAGAGAGCTGGATAGATGGATACAGATAGAAAAAGATAAAGAGAGAGAGAGAGAAAAGAAGAAAGAGAGAGAGGGGGGGAGAGAGAGAGCGCGCGCGCGCGTATCGAGACCAAGATATATCTCGCACACTATGGCTTACATTATAAAGAATTTTGCGTGCTAAGCACGACGGCGATCGCACAAATTTATTATCCCATTCTCCTACATGCTACCTGTGTAAAACAGGTAGAGAAATAGACACGTAAAATGTCATAGGAAATGGGCTTGGATTGGAGTTAGAATTTTCCAATTTATTGCACACGGCTTGCTCACACGTGAGAAAATACGTGCGTGTGTATTAAATGTGTGCAATAAAGAGTATATTGTTTGAAATACATGCGTGTCATAGTTACACGCACGTCTATGTGTATTGTAGATGCGTAAATCGCTATGTGCGCTTGTTGTTACAGTTATATAACACATCTAGCTGAAGCTATTTAGATGTTCGTCCACAGCTAAGATTATGAGAGCATGTATGCGTAGCTCGTGTTACTAGACGCCACTCTACTTGCATACCTATAGTTTCACCCTATAGCGTGTATAGCTATAGTTATACCTATAGAGTGAATTAAGTGACCGTCGCTGTGATCACACGTGTGTGGCTAGCTATAGCTAGTCGTGCGCTAGTAATAATAAAAGGATTGGGCAGGAATTTTACAGGCGCTAGATCGGACGCAACTCACCATCCAGCGTCTCGTCGGTACGCCAGCTAGTGTGACAGATACCCCCTATGGTGGAATTCACAGAGAAACATCGTCGAGTTTGCTAGTAGCTGGGTTTGCCCCCGTACTCTAACCGGTCCAGCCAGCCGCACACGCCTCGCTGCCAATTTAAGACCGCCTCGTATTTATTATCAACAACTTGGCAGGAGGAAGAGCCGACTAGAAGAGCATTCCGGGATGGGGAGGGGAGGCATGGGAGTTCCCTGGCAGGAACGTCGACTCTAAACACAAGCTATGCTGATCCCCATCAGCAGCAGGCCTGCAGCAATTCCCCCCTCCCACACACACGCACGTACGCACGCACGCACACGAACAAACACACACACACACACACACACACATGCATAGTACTCATGATAGTACTGCATACACACACACACACACATGCACACACACGCGCGCGCATACACGCACGCACGCACGCACGCACGCACGCACGCACGCACGCACGCACGCTCTCTCTCCCTCTCTCTCTCTCTCTCTCTGTCTTCCTGTCTCAGTCTCTCTCTTCTTCTCGCGGCGCGCGCTCTCTCGTCCCCTCTGCTCGGTCTCCCGGCGGCGGGCGAGACTGGCGGCAGTCATCTCTCACCCTCCCTCCCCTCCCTGGCAAGGGACGGCCTCTCGTGCTCTGCCTCTCTCTTCTAATAAAGATTATTAGGAAAGAGAGCACTTTCTCTCTCTCTGCGTCTTTTATCTTTTTCTAATCTGTAATCCCGATCTATCCAGCTCGTACTCA